TCTAGGATGTGGTCCTAGATGATCCCTGAAGGGGCACATTGGATATTCTTGAAACCCTAAAATTGTCCAAGGACAGTCCCTATGTCCTTGGATAACATCCCCTATGTCCTTGGGTAATTTTAGGGTTGGGTGTCTTTGGATAATTTTAGGGTCCCAAGAATATCCTATGTCTCCTTCCTACCATTTGAAATGTCTCCTTCTCTTATGGACCAGTGCCTGAGATTCCACCTCATAACATCATTACTTGAGGACACGTGAATTGGATAATATTCTTGCTTTCTCTCCAATTTAAGACAAGCTCTCCAATGTATAAACTAGTTAAGGTCTGAAGGTTGTCCATCAATCATTTTTAATTCTAAATCTGAGGTGGCTTAGGTGAGACTATACTTATAGTCTTTGTAAGGTTTTCCATCAGATAAGGATGTGAGTCAATCCTCTGAAGCATTAATACCATGCACATGCTGCTCTTTGCTGATAGGCATTTTATTGGGCCCCTTTCTTAGTTACTTCTGCCAATGTCATGGGAAACTCTTTAATCATTGTGGTGTTTTCATTTGCTGGCTTGACCCTCACTTTAATGTTGAGTAAATTCAAATTGGCTTTGAAACTTTGAAACCTTTCATGGCTCTTAATGAAATTTTGTAAGCCACATGTTCACCATGCTTCACCTTTAAGTTCTCAAACAACCCCTAGTCAACTTCTAAATTAACATTAGACTTCTGAGCATCCCATGTTGACGCTGATACTTGTGAATTTCTCAGCAGGTGGTGACATTGGTATTTTGGGTGGGACAATCCTTTATTGAGTGGGACTGGTTTATCCACTGCAGGATTTAGACTTACTGAATCCTACCACAAAAGTGCCATTACTATTCTCTATGGAGACAACTGAAATGCCTACACATATTCCCAAACTCCTTTTAAAACTACTGTGTGGTGCTCACACACTTTTATATCTCTATAATTCCATTCACATTAACAGACATTGAGTGCTGACTGTGTGTAAAACACTGTAGGGGTCCCTAGAGATACAGAGAGGAAACAGACACAGTCCCTTTTCCTTCTTTTCTCCTTAATTATAGTCCATACTTTAGGTGCAGTGGTCTTCACCTGTTACGTGTGGCAGTCCTTGAATATTGAGCAAGATTTGATCCCATTCTCATATGCAATTGTTGTCATTTTTCTCAGCACTTTTACTTAAAAATTGTCTTTACTTGTATTCTTGTCATAGTCATATGCTTCTTTTCAATAATTTTTCCAATGCTATCACTGCTTTTGCAAATGCTGTGCATAATGGAGTTAAAAGTTGTGTGGAGAAGACTTTACAAACTAAGCTAAGGCAGCACACACATTAGTAGACCAAGACCAGTGTGATGGTTGAAACTAAAGTGCGTTGTGCTGGAAGTCAGTGCAGTTGCTGGAATTTATTTAGGAACTTACCTCAAAGGTAATTATCAGAGTTTGAAAACTGAAGTCCAAAAGTATAGGAGGCCTGTAGTGTTACCCAAAGCAGACCATGGTAGCAATGCTAATGGGGGTTCTTACTGCCACCTGTTGTAACTGAAGGACCTGTCAGGTCTACCAGGGGGTGACTTATATTCAAGAATTCTTTCACCAAGAATAGAAAACTAAGAAGTCCTAATTTCTAATGGAGGTAATCAAAATGCCATCCCTAGGACTTACTTTTAGCATACTAACGTTTGCATGAGAAACACTGACCTTATTAAAAGGTACTATTACTTCATTCAAGCTTTAATTTAAAGGTAGTCAATGGCAGCTGGCACTATTGGCTCAATAAGCAAAGCAAATAATAGATTATTTTTCAACAGGTTTGGTTTATACCAGGAAATATATGCAACTTCTTTGCTAAGGGCAGAGGCAGCTGTGAGATAAATGTATTTAATTAGGACTTACCTCATAATTAGGAAATGAGTTAATGAAAATAAGCAAGTAAAAATTATTATGCATCTGCTTTTTGCTTTTTATTTACTTAGACTCTTAAAACTTTAAAACTTTTATAATTGCCAAGAATTTTCAAAGGTAGTATCTGGAGGATGATGGGAAAGCAGTGTGAGTTGCTCATATACTTTCTAGATATTGTAGTCATAATCAATACTAATTTTGAGCGTAGGTACAATCTTGGTAAAATCACCTGTAATTTAGATGCCAACATCATTGTACATAGATCACCACTAGCTGGGCAGCCATGTGACTTTCCCAGTAATATTTGAGTTGCTCATACAGAAACCAATAGCCCCTTGTGGCAGATATTGTTCTTTGTCCCCTTGTATCGAATCTCTCCTTTTTCCTTTCTCTCTTTTGAGAACAGCGTATCTGGAATCCTAATGAATAAAGGATATTCACTTATATTCAGTGAGAAATTTATTTTCTTTCTATATATAAGTTTTTCCCAGAATTTTTCGAAACAAACCTGGAATGTCAGGGTAAGCTTTGGGAAAAAAAAAGGGTCAGTATAGAACCATGGAATTTTGGAACTTTTGTTTTCTCACTGAGAAAAGATGTCACATTTACATTTTCTCCTCCAGGGACTTAATTCCATTCACATTCACAGACACTGAGTGCCGACTGTGTGTAAAATACTGTAGGAGTCCCTAGAGATACAGAGAAGAAACAGACATAGTCCCTGCCCTCAAGGAGCTCACAATATATAGAGAAGACAGCACAAATACACAAACAAATGCACTAGAAGATAGGATGCATGTAATATTAGAGATACAAGTGAAGTTATATGGGAGCATAGAGCTGGGAGAGAGGACTTCCATAGGGACAGGGAAGGAAGAAGTATCTCAGGAAGACTTTTTAGAAGAGATTGCATTTGAGCGACATATGAAGCATTGGTGGAAGAAAGATGTGAAGCCATGGAGGTCAGGTTTCTAAAGCAATGGGATCAAATGTTAGGGGAGTTTAGAAAGCACAGGTAATACTCACATTTTTCTGGAGCGGGAAGTAGGTGAAAAGAAGTGGTGAGATACAACTCTGCAAAGATAGTTTGGGGTCACAAAGTAAGAGGCCTTGAACGCTATACTATGGACTATTAATTTATTTTATATTGCTAGGGAAAGAGTAAAGGATTTTGAACAATGCAATTAAAAATCTACTTTATGCTCTAAAATAGTGACTCAAACTTTAGCTTGTATCAGAATCTCCTGGAAGGCTTATTAAAACAGAGATTAATGGGCTCCACTCTTAATTTTTGATTCACTAGGTTTTGAATGGGGCCCTTGATTTTGCATTTCTAACAAGTTCTCAGGTGCCGCTAATGCGGCTAGTCTGGAGATGCCTCAGTGAGAAACTCACACTGGGAGATGTGTGGGGGCCGAGTTGCAGGTGGGAGAATCCAGAGGCAGGTGGATCAAATAACATTTGATCTAGGGGAGAGGACCAACTTATTGGAGAGTAAGGTGGCATAAACACATGTTTCTGTAGAGGTAAATGGACAAGACTTCAGGACTATCTGGATGTTGGAGACCTGAGGCAAAGAGAGAGAATAACATTCATCTAATAGGAACGATAAAAAGCATGGTAATTCTGTTATCTGAGACTGAGAAGGTAGAAAGAGGAGAAGGCTTGAGTGTGGGGAAATTATCCTGAGTTAAGTATAGGAAGGCTGTGTTTGAGGTACCAAAGAAATATTCATAGGGAGAGGCTCACCAGATGTAACTTATGGGTCTGCAGTTTAAGAGAAAGATCAGGACTAAAGTCACAAATTTGGGAGCTACAGGCATGAAACTAACAGTTGAAATGGCCAAAGTTGGGATGGAATATAGAGCTATAGGAGGTGATTGCTGAGGACAAAGCCCCAGGAGGAAGGAAAGGAGACAAAGAATAAAGAGACAAGGAGGTAGTTGGATAACCAGGAGAGCAAAATATCCTGGAAGGTATGGGCTTAAACATGAAAGGGATGGTTAGCTGTTGTAACTGATGAGAGAATGACAGGTAGAGACGCAGAGAAGGGCTACTGGCAAGTCTCCAGTGACCTTTGGGAGATAAGTTTGGGAGAACTAGGGTATACTCAGATGGAAAAGGATAGAAAAGTCAGTGGAAGGTAAGAAGTGGATGCAGAATGAGTGGATTAATGATTGGAGAAACCCAGGTGAGAGAGTTAAGGGAGAGATGAAGTAGGATCTTGATGGGAAAGTAGGGCCAGAGGAAGTTGATTTTTGTGTCCAAGAGATTTGAGTAAAGTAATAGATGAGATTAAAGAGGAGTGGGGAGGAAAAGTGTTGAGATGGAGAGGGAGAAAGGAAGGTGCAGAGGGAGGTTGGGTGTAAGAAGTAAGATTCTAGTAAGGTTGAGAAGGGATTGATTGAAGGACTAAAAACACAGAGGTGGAAAGGAGGCAAATCAATGTCTTCTCCCTACAAAGAAGAGTGAAGAGATGGGGAGAGGCTGTGGATGAGAGACTAGGAGCAGAGGCTGAGAACGGTCACCTACTTAGGAGTATGCAAGAATGTACAAACTTTCAGTCCTCCTGCCCTCACTCTTGACTTTGTAATGGTGTACTCCTCCATGTGACTATAGCAGTCACTCCTTCTCAGGCCACACCCATGGCCTCAGGTCCCATCTGCAGCCTCCTGGTCCCAGGGTAGAGTCTGGCATGGAAGCCACAGTTATTCTGGGAGATACAATTTCATTCTCATATCCTGATGAGTGGCCTTTAGTGTAAACACAGATTTTCAACTTTTACTTTTTTTCTCCAAGAGCACAACTGGTAATTTTTTTTTTTTTTTTTTTTTTTTGAGACAGGGTCTCACTCTGTTGCCCAGGCTGGAGTGCAGTGGCACGATCTCTGCTCAGTGCAACCTCTGCCTCCCAGGTTCAAGTGATTCTCCTGCCTCAGCCTCCCGAGTAGCTGGGATTACAGGCACGGGCTACCATGCCTAGCTAATTTTTGCATTTTTAGTAGATATGGGGTTTCACCATGTTGGCCAGGTTGGTCTTGAACTCCTGACCTCAGGTGATGCACCTGCCTCAGCCTTCTGAAGTGCTGGGATTACAGGAATGAGCCACCATGCCCAGCCGCAATTGTTAATTTAATGAGTAATATTCTCCAACGAAGTTCTTCAGATAATATATTCTGTCATTTGATCACTGCACCTCATTAAGCTTCTTAAAAAGTTTTCCAAATTTGACATGTACTCCCACCTTAGCCCTGCTACAGTGAAAGTGTATATGGGAGGCTTAACTGGCATAGATTTTAGAATTGGAGGAGACCCAATGTGTCTATCAGGTAATATCGCAACACACTGACCAAAGTAGATTTAGATGATTTCTTATTTGCTTTATGTTTTATATTCATAGTAAAAGACAGAAAACTGCCAGTGCATTTATTCCAGGTATTTCCATTTTAGAAAACGAGGAAGTTTATTTAATCATGAACTAAAAAGGACAAGCCAGCTGTACTATTTTTACCTGAAAGGAATAGGCTATGTAGTCACAGTGCTACAGTAAACGACTTTAGCTCAGGTCTGCAAGCAGTAGATGACAGCACATCACTTTCTTTGAATTCTTTACGTAGTCATGCAATTCCCACTGGAATATGTATGCAGATAGAGCCATAATCTCAGATTTAATGCCATAGAGGGCATTATCAGGTATTTAATTTATAAGTAATAAGAAATTCTGCAAATAAAGATATTTTTGGCATTCTTTAATTGCAGGGTAACTGAAATGGCTAAGAAAAACCAAGCCCATAAAAAGTATTTACTATTTCACCTTATTATTACTTCTACAAAATTTATGTTTTTGTATGATAATGTTTATTTGAAATTATGTATCACAGATAAGACCAGAGGTAGAAAACAGCACGCCAAATAACAGTCCTCAAACAAAACAGAACAAAACAAACAAACAAACAAGAAAACAAGACCACACATACTTACAAACTCTCCTGAACCAAGTATGTCCAAGAATTAATAAGTTGCACCCCTTACCCCCATCCACTCATGAGGCTCTGGTAAAAGTCGTGCCTTTTAGCTTTTGACAGTCTAAGCATGCTCTCGGCATCTAATGAGCTTTTTAAAAGCCAGCTTAAAATCTTCATTAAAACTCGTATAGAGCAGAGGGTTGATCAGAGAATTAACATAACCGAGCCACGTCAGAAAGTCGGCCACTTCCGAGGACACGGTGTAGATGCTCAGACCCACAATCAACTCTTTGATGAAAAATGGCAGCCAGGACAAAATGAATGCGCCCAGAATCAACCCCAGGATGCGCGCTGCCTTCCGTTCCCTGGTGCTAGAAATCTGCTGGCGTTCTCCCGGGTGATCTAGATCATTGTCGAAGGGTGGGATCCTGATGGAGGCATGGAACTTTTCAAACTCTGTGGTAGGGTCTGAAGTGGAGAAGTCAGACACACAGAAAGTCTGTGTAAGTTTACAATTTGCGAAAGAATTCTGGCTATCTGTGCTTCTGTTGCTTAAGTGCCGACTTGATCCCCTTTTCTGGTAAAGGCTCTTGGCCGCGTGGTAAATCCGGTAATAGAGAATCAGTATTAAAGTCAAGGGGATATAAAATGCACCCAGCGTGGAGTAAATGGTGTAGATAACATGGTCGTGCTGGATGGTGCACTGGCTAGGGGGAGGGCTTAGCTGGCGGTGGCTCCTCCAGAACAGAGGGGGCATGGAGATGAAAATGGAGATGGTCCAGACGGTGAGGATCATCAGCGCCGCCCTCTTGGCCGTCCTCTTCCTGGCGTATTCAATAGCATTGGTGATGGCCCAGTACCTGTCCAGGGCAATGACACAGAGGTGGAGGATGGAGCAGGTGCAGCAGGTCATGTCCACACTCAGCCACACCTCACAGAGGAAGTATCCAAGCTTCCAGCGGTCCATGACAATGTATATGATGCTCAGGGGCATGACGAGCACGGCCACCAGGAGGTCCGTCACGGCCAGAGAACAGATTAGGTAGTTGGCAGGCTGGTGGAGCTTCTTGGTGGTGCAGATAGCCATGATCACCGCCAAGTTCAGCAACGTGGTGAGGGTGGTGATGACCACCAGAGTCATGCAAATGAGCATCTTTTCAGTGATGGTCTTGGGCCTCACAGCCATGCCGGCTTCTGTGGTACAGTTTGTGATGTTCATGTTTTCCCTGTTTCAGTTTACACTGTGGAGAAGCTGTTGGTTATTTTTCTTTGGCTGAAAACTACGTAGCCTCGAAGGTTTCTCACTTGTAAGGAGGCTGTAATTTGTTCAGCTATGTGGTCTCTTGTGTTCCATTTTCTGTTGGTAAAGGGAAGGGCCACAGCATTTCTTCTGAGTGAAGGTTCCTGGAAAATATTATGCTATTGGTTAACGAATGAGAAAGCCACACTTTTCCTGGAAAACATGAAAATAGTTTGATATTTATACATTCTTTATAAATTTTAATTTTCTCTTTCCTGTGGAACTTGAGCTCATCTTTACATTGTTCCTCAAAGGATACTTTTTCACTTTGGGAAGTTTTCAAACTTTTTTTTTTTTTAAATTATATTTTAAGTTCTGGGATACATGTGCAGAATGTGCAGGTTTGTTACATAGGTATACACGTGCCATGGTGGTTTGCTGCATCCATCAACCAATCATCTACATTAGGTATTTCTCCTAATGCCATCCCTCCCCTAGCCCTTCACCCCTCAAAAGGCCCTGGTGTGTGATGTTCCCCTCCCTGTGTCCCTGTGTTCTCTTTGTTCAACTCCCACTTATAAGTGAGAACACACGGTGTTTGGTTTTCTGTTCCTGTGTTAGTTTGTTGAGAATGATGGTTTCCAGCTTCATCCATGTCCCTGCAAAGGACATGAACTCATCCTTTTTTATGACTGTGTAGTATTCCATGGTATATATGTGCCACATTTTCTTTATCCAGTCTATCATTGATGGGCATTTGGGTTGGTTCCAAGTCTTTGCTATTGTAAACAGTGCTGGAGTAAACATATGTGTGCATGTGTGTTTATAGTAGAATGACTTATAATCCTTTGGGTACATACCCAGTAATGGGAATGCTGGGTCAAATGGTATTTCCGGTTCTAGATCACCTGAGGAATCACCACACTGTCTTCCACAATGGTTGAACTAATTTACATTCCCACCAACAGTGTAAAAGGATTCCTATTTCTCCACATCCTTGCCAGCATCTGTTGTTTCTTGACCTTTTTTTTTTTATTATACTTTAAGTTCTAGGGTACATGGGCACAACGTGCAGGTGTATTACATATGTGTACATGTGCCGCATTGGTTTGCTGCACCCATTAACTTGTCATTTACGTTAGATATTTCTCTAAATGCTATCCTTCCCCCATACCCCCACCCCACGACAGGCCCCAGTGTGTGATGTTCCCTGCCCTGTGTCCAAGTGTTCTCATTGTTCAATTCCCACCTACGAGTGAGAACATGCAGTGTTTGGTTTTTCTGTCCTTGCGATAGTTTGCTCAGAATGATAACTTTTTAATGATTGCCATTCTGACTGGCCTGAGATGGTATCTCATTGTGGTTTTGATTTACATTTCTCTAATGACAGTGATGATGAGCTTTTTTTCATATGTTTGTTGGCTGCATAAATGTTTTCTTTTGAGAAGTGTCTGTTCATATCCTTTGCCTGCTTTTTGATGGGGTTGTTTTTTTCTTGTAAATTTGTTCAAACCGTTTTTGACAAAAACGTCACAAAATTTTAAATGTACTTTGCCACCCCAATTAATTTCTTATTATATTTATTCTTTTATACATGTTTATATGTAAAAAGGCTTTTTTTGCATTTGAAATATGTATTCATATTATGTAACATTAAAAATTCTGGGATCATTACATTAAAGAAAAAATTATATTGCTTATAAGAAGCAGCTTTCAAATTAGATTTTAAACTTTCACAGTAAATAGGCTGGGTGTGGTGGCTCACACCTGTAATCCCAGCACTTTGGGAGTCTGAGGTGGGCAGATCACCTGAGGTCAGGAGTTTGAGACTAGCCTGGCCAACATGGCGAAACCTTATCTTTACTAAAAGTACAAAAATTACCTAGGTATGTGGTGGCACACACTTGTAGTCCCAGCTACTTGGGAGATTGAGGCATGAGAATTGCTTGAACCTGGGAGATGGAGGTTTCAGTGAGCCAGCATTGTGCAACTGTACTCTAGCTGGGTGACAGAGTGAGACTGTCTCAAAAACAAAAACAAAAACAAAACTTTCACAGTAAATATTAAACTCCAAAGGTATGTAAGTGTCACAGTGGGATTACACAACTTTGTCTAATTATTTCTAACATTTTATGCATCATACTGTTCTATTTTTCTTTGGAGAAAAGCATATAACATTACATTGATATTTGTGGAAAATTATTCTCTGAGTAATACAATAAATCAACTGTGAAACAGCATCATCACCAAACTAAAGATGTCTATATTAAAAAAAGTATTTTGTTTCACTTGACATTTGTGGCTGTCCTTCCCTTCCCTTCCCTTCCCTTCCCTTCCCTTCCTTTCCCTTCCCTTCCTTTCCCTTCCCTTCCCTCCCTCCCTGTCTCCCTCCCTCCCTCCCTCCCTCCCTCCCTCCCTTCCTTCCTTCCTTCCTTCCTTCCTTCCTTCCTTCCTTCCTTCCTTCCTTCCTTCCTTCCTTCCTTCGCTCCTTCCTTCCTTCCCTCCCTCTTTCCTGCTCCCTGCCCTTCTTCTTCTCCCTCCTCCTCCTCCTTCTTCTTCCTCTTTTCTTCTTCTTCTCCTTCTCCTCCTTCTCCCTTCTTCTTTCTTCTTCATGCTCTTCTCTCTATCTCCTCTTCTTTCCCCTCCCCTCCCTCCTTTCTCCTCTCCTCTCCTCTCCTCTTTTTCCCTCCTCCTCCTCCTCCTTCCTTCTCTTCTCTTCTCTTCTCTTCTCTTCTCTTCTCTTCTCTTCCTTCTCTTCTCTTCTCTTCTCTTCTCTTCTCTTCTCTTCTCTTCTCTTCTCTTCTCCTCTCCTCTCCTCTCCTCTCCTCTCCTCTCCTCTCCTCTGCTCTTCTCTCTCATTCTCTCCAAGATAGCTGTGATTAAGCTGGTCAGTCAATGAGCTAGTGTCATTTTTATAGAAATATAAAATCAAATACAAATGTATATTCATGAGAGCACAACAATCAAAATTACATGGAAATATTCACAGTTAATGACTGCTGGATAGGAGGCTTATCAAATTCTATGATTTGACTCCACGGGATTTGGTCCAGGAAGACTTCAAGGAAATGTTAGCAGTTTTAAGAAGAGATATAGATTGATGTGCATAAGATTTAACAGACAGTGATTTCAGCAAGGGATGGAGGCAGGAGCAGGTGAGGCACATGTGTAAGAGGGTGTGAATGTTGGAGGGAGTCTTTGGGTGGTTTGGAGATAGGTGGCAGGAATAAAAACCTCCAGCCTGTGGATGAGATCTAGCCCTAGTTTTAATTTCTTCTGCTTATAGAGCAAAAACCAAGAAGGGGGAGAGAGAGGTGACATTTAGCCTTCAGATATAGAAAATAAAAGAAAACAAGAAGTTCACTGAAGACCACAAATGTGTCAATTGTTTTCAAGACAGTTTGTATCTTTCTGTAATTAAATGACAATCTTTTAGCCTGTTTCCATTATGCACTCACAGCATTTCTATGACTATACCTACTATTCAATGACTCTTGTGTTTCTCTAGTTCTTCCATGGGGCTAGTTCTATGAACAACCCCTTCTCTTTTGTAGACTGAATATTTTCTTCTCTGCTGGTACCTTTCCTTCCTTTTTACAAACAGTTTAAACTTGCATTTGTATCTGAGATAGACTGTAAAATGGAAAGATTGTGGGCTTTGGAATTAGACAGACCTGGGTTCAGATTCCAGCGGTGCCATCTACTAGCTACCTGGACCGACCTCTCTCCATTGTTCCCTGTGTTGCATGGTCAAAGTTTCTTCACGTTGACCTCTTTCTCTCTAATTGAATGAAAAAAGTTGTGTTTTTTTTTGTGCATGTACTAATCCTTGGTTATGTTTTCCTTGGGTTCTAGAGATTTATTGGGTAGAATGGTTCTGAATAAAAAAGCTCTTCCATTCTGGTTGTAAGATTGAGAGTATAGAGAGTAGCATTGATAAGGAAAACTTTAGAAATTTCGATTTATAGTACAGGTAATTAGGAAATGTAGTGATTTTGAAAGCATGCAGTTTAAAAACATCCGAAATAATTCAGCTTTATAGATCTTTTAAATCTGCTCAGTTTATCTGAGCTCCCATAACTCCTAACTGTCATCTCTCTGGTGACATTTTCTTCCTTATTTTGTGACTATTTTTTTATTCTCCCCAACAGACTATACATTTCTAGTGGGTGGGATGTATGCCTGATTCACATTTTGGACTACTTCTAGTTAAATTAGTAAAAATATTACAGGTTGAGAGCTACTTTCTTAGCTCTTAACATGACTTCCTGGTTTATTTTGTGCCTAAGCCTTTCAGAGTAAGAGTTAAATTTTGTATCCCTATGTTGTCAGTCACCGCAAACTCCTTCTCACACCTAGCTTGCCGTCTTCCATCTTTTTTTCATTTAACAAATATATTTTGAAGTTTGTCCCATAATAACACATATAATACATTCTTTAAAATGGCTAAGTGAGATCAGGCCCAGGAAGACCTAATTGCAGAGCAATTATGGATTGAACAATTCTGAGAACTGGGCCCTGGAGCTCTGTACTGTTTTTGAGATAGGGTCTCACCCTGTTGCCCAGGTTGGAATGCAGTGGCACAATTATGCCTCACTGAAGCCTCCACCTTCCCAGGCTCAGGTGATCATCCCAACTTAGCCTCCTGAGTAGCTGGGGCTACTGGCACACACAACGATACCCTGTTAGTTTTTATTTGTTTTTTTTGTAGAGATGTGTTTCACCATGTTACCCAGGCTGGTGTTGAACTCCTTGGCTCAAGTGACCTGCCCTCCTTGACTTCCCAAAGTGCTGGGATTATAGGCATAAGCCATTGCGCCTGGCCTCTTTTTAAAGGTCAAGTTGGTAAGAAGGAACCAGCAAAGCAGACAGAGAATAACAGCCACTGAGGTGGAAGAGAATGATGAGAAGTAATTTTATTCCAAGACCAAGTGAAGAAAGCTTATAAAGCTGCATAAATACTGCTGATGATTCAAGGGTGATGGGGACTTGACCACTGGGCTAGGCAATAGGATGACATCTATGCCCTTGACAAGGGCAATTTGGTGAAGCAGTGGAGATAAAAGGCTGAAGGTGGGGGTTTCAAGAAAGAATGGGAGAAGATAAGATAGACAATAAATAAGAAAGGTTATTTCAAGTGCTTTGCTGAAATGGGGAGTAGAGA